AAAATACCCACTAACGCCCTTGGACAGGATCTTGTACAAAGACCGAAGATGAGACGTGATGAGAAATAGAAGTCTATCAGAAATCTAAATTCACAGGAAGGAGCACACCGAGACGGCTGTTGGCATCGGTTAGGGTTGAACAGAAACGCAGAAGCACCCAGAGGGATCCCGCACAGGTGACGAGCCGCAGGGACCGCCCCTGTGACCACGCCGGGAGGTGATGCCACAGCCCACGGGAGCCTGAGGCTGCTGGGTCTGCAGGAGTCAAACCGAGGAAGGCATCCAATCTGGAATCGGGGGTGCACAGGCCTGAAGCAGCCAAGCCAGGATGAGACGGAACCCACACGGATGAACTGGGACACGCATCCGTTTCTCACCGCCTCAAAGGCTCCAAATTCAACGACGCAAGCAGCTTGCAAGAGCCTGGCACCTCCCCGCAGAGGAGGCGGCGAGCACCAGGGCAGCAGGTGAGCCACCCTTCTCCTCCCCACCCACCCTCCTCTGAGTAACATCACGGCCACAGCACCGAACCTCACAAATCTCACTGACATTTCTCTCGTGGTCAGCCCTAGCTGACCATCCTGGGAGGAAGATTCTTTGTTTTCCTAATTTTTAATTTATCTATTTATTTAAAGGCAGAGGAGGAGGAGGGATGGGTAAGAGTGAGCTCTCATCCGCTGTTCACTGTACAAACGCCCAAAGCTCAGAACTCAATCCAGGTCTCCCTCACGGGTGGCAAGGACCCAGGCCTGCATCACTCACTGCCTCCCAGGGCACCAATTAGCAGCAACCTGGAATCATTAGGAGAGCTGGCGCTTGAACTGATACGAGATGTGGGCACGCCAAGCAGGGTCCGACACACTCTGCCCACCGCCCGCCTCCACACAGGGAATTCTAAGCAACACGGTCTCAACCCGCTGAACGGATGGAGGACCCGGCCAGCACATGCTGTTACTAAACTGCCTTCATGTTCCACTGTCCTCGTCCCCAAAAATGCTCTCATGACGCATTCCCTCATTGCAACGTCCCATTTGACAAACACTGTGGCAAGTACACTTACCACGTAAGCAAGCATCTTTACTATCTCTTAGTACACACACAAGCACCTTGCTAGCCTTCATGAGCTTTGTTTACTCTTGAGGAAATGTCTGGCTCTCAGTGTGAGACTTACGTTCAATGAATCAAAGATAATAAATTCATTTTAACAAAAAATGGGCTTTAGGGTTGTGCTGGGCAAGATTCTTGGAGGACAAGATGATATCTACAGCGCTGGAGAATATATTTGCCCATCACATATCTGACAAGGGACATGTACCTAGAGTACAAAGAATGTCAAACTTCAACATTAAAAAAAAAAGTTCACTTAGAAAGTGGACCAAAGACACAAAAGCACATTTATTTACCAAAGAGATAGAGGGAAAGAAGCACATGAAACAATGTTTCACATCATCCACCAGCACAGAGACTCCACAGCACACCTCTCAGAATGGCTACAGTCAAGGACAGGACAACACCAAGTGCCAGCAACCAACAGAGAAACCGATCACTCACGCTCGGCTGGCGGCTATGCCAGGCACACAGTTGGGCAGCTTCATCAAAAACAAAGCATGTCTCCACTGGGAAGCCCAGCCACTGCACTCCTGGGCGTTAGCCCCAGAGAAATTCAAATTTAAGTTCACAGAGACACCTGTCAATGCACGCGTCTACCAGCTTTTCAGGACATATGTCAAAACCTGGAACAGATGTCTTTAGCAGCTGAGTAGACAAACTGTGGCCCGCCCATCCAGTGGAATAGCACACAGCCATGAAAAGTAACGACCACTGATACTCAAGACATGCTGCATGACACCCCAGGGTCCCACAGTGAGAACAGCCAATCTCAGCAGCGTACTGCCACGATTCTACTGACCCAGGAGGTCACACACAGCAGCACTGGGGAGACAGAAGAGAGATGCGGCCGTCACGGACTGGAACAGGGGTGTTATGGGGTGGGCGGCTATTAGGGATGAGGTGCCACAGCTGTGATGGGGACACACAAGTCCTCATCAGGGGCCTGTCCTGATCTGCACTGTGGCTGTGACCTCAGAAATCCACACACAGGACACAACTGCCTTGCAATGAACACACACATCACCAACAAACAGAAACAAAATGGTACCAAGGAACACTAGGGATATCTCAGAAAAGCTGCAGAAGACACCCACATCAATTTCCTGGTCGTGGAATTATAATTACACAAGATGCTCCAGGGGGTGGGGGCAGCCTTGTGACACAGCAGGTTAAGTCACAGCCTGCCACGCCAGCATCCCACACCTGAGCACCGGCGTCAAGGCCCAGGGGCCTGCTTCGCAGTCAGCTTCCTGACAAGGCACCCGGGAAGCCAGCAGAAAATGGCCCACGCACATGGGCTCCTGCCATCCACCCACGTGGGAGACCCGGATGGAGTCCCTGGCTCCCAGTCCAGGCCTGGCCATCCCTGGTTGACAGAGGCATTAGGAGTGGATCAGCAGATCAAAGGTCATTCTCTTCCATCCCCTGACCCCAACCCAATCTTTACAATGGATAAAGTGCACAGGGATCTTTATTATATCACGACTTATTTATTATATCATTACTCAAAAGGCATGGGAACGTACAATTACCTGAACACAGGCTTTGTTTAATGAGCGTGCACTCCCAAAGAGTTCTGCTCAAACAAGCACAGTCCCTGCAGTATCTAGGGCCACGCTTGCTTCACGCTGAGAACTCAGTGAGTGTGATGTTCTGTCCTTCCCTGCGGGATTCGGTGGGGTCCTGGGGGTGCACAGTCACGCAGGTGCTCCAGCTTGGTGTGCGGTCCCCGCCCCCCAGCCAGCTGTGCAGAGAGCTCTCCGGTCTCCCAGAAGTCACTGCGTGTGGGCACTAAGGGCTGCCGCTTTCTTTCGGGACAGGCACCTATAAGCCTTTCCAAGCACTGCTGTGCTGTTCGCCAAACCTGCAACTCAGCAGGGGCGTGGGGGGTGGGTCTCCTTCACAGTCCATTACAGGATTCATCGAAAATGGAATGAGAGGTGAGTTGAGGCAGATGGCAGATGTGCTGCATGGCAGTTGAGACGCCACTTGGGGAGGCCCCATCCCAGGTCAGAGTGCCTGGTTCAAGTCCTGGCTCCTCCACTTCTGATCCAAGAGGAGACAGCTCAAGTCCCTGGGGCCCTACCACCCACGTGGGAGACCTGGATTGGGCTCCCAGCTTTTGGTTTTGTCCTGGCCCAGCACAGGCCATTGTGAGCATTTGAGGAGTAACAGAGCAGATGGAAAAATCTATTTTTCTCTCCCTCTCTCTCTGCCATTCAAATAAAATGGAAAATTTCAAATTAAAAAAGGTGTTTATTTTGCTGAAAAAAAAGTTAAAGCCAAGCTGGCCCTTTGTGCCTCCCCCACTCTCCTCCCAGCTCTGCCAGAGCCCCAGTAATTCCCCTCTTCTCAATAAAACCCTCCCCTCCTGGTCCACTTCCCCCTCCATCCCTCTCTCCCCGGCCCTGCTATCTGCACTATGAGCAACAACAACAAAAATGCTTTTAGAAAGAAAAGGAAAAAAGGTAAAACAGCTCCACCCCCCTCCAGGCAGGAGGCAGGAGCACTTGACCTGACCTTCCTGTAATGGAAAACGCTCAGGCTGCCCAAGTCCAGCGCTGCGCGCGCCTCCTGCGCCTTAAACTATGCGGCCACCCCTACAGTAAGAACGGAGACAGCAGGGCAGTCGGCCGCGGAACGTGCATTCCCGCGCCAGCCCTGCAGACTGTAGCCCCCGGTCCTGAGCATCCCCCGGTGGAAAACCAGCCCAACTCTCGCCAGGGTTGACTACGGTGTATGAAACACTCGAACGCGTCCTGTTCTCGCCCTCCTGCCCAGAGCAAACTTTTCGGGGGGAAGAATTAAGTCTTCAGCCTGTGCAATGCCGCCGACTGCCGGACTTCCCTTCCCCAGCTCGTCCGGGCCATCCGTCCCGAGCCCCGGGCCTACGGGCCGAGCCGCCAACGCGCGCCCAGGCATCCTTCTGGTCCACGCGCGTTCCCACGACACCCACTGGGAAGGGCCGAAGACGCCTCGGACGGAGAACCCACAGCCTTTCAACACTTCCGCCCGAGCGGCAAAATAAGCCCCAGATGGCGAGAGGCTGGGTCCAGCCCGCGATGGAGACGGCGCCTCTCTCCCAGCGGCGCCTGGCCCCCTCGGTGCGAGGCCGGCCCACGCCCGCTCACCACCACCGCCGCCACCCCAAGTCAGAATTCGGGGTAACACCCCGCCCTACGCCATCTGCCGAGCCCTCGGCTCTCCTCCCACTTATCCGCGACAGAAATGCTGAATCACGACTCGGAGGTTGCAAACGCAAAACTATTTTCGGCGGGGACCCCAGGACCCTCGGAGGGGTCCCTCGCTCGTGCGCTCTGCACCTTGCAGCGTGCGGAGGAGGCCGAGCCGCGCGCAGACAGGAGCGGCGCGGGGCGAGCTGGGGGAGGGGGCGCCTTCGATCCCCCCACTCCCGCTCCTCCCCGCAACCCAAGCAGCCTAGATCGCCCAAGGCTCCCGGCTACGCTCATCGGAACGCGCAGCTTCAGCAACGCGCGGCTAACTTCCCATCTGCAAAGCTGCCCTACAGCTCCGAGAAATCCCAAACTTGGAAGCCACGCCGCCCCCCGCCCCTCCGTGGCGCGCGGGGCCCACGCGGCGCCCACTTGGCCGCGGTCCCGGGGGTTCGGGGTGCGCGCACTGAGCCGGCGCCGGGTGCAACCCGGGAGGAGCCCGCCGAGGGCGCAGACCCGCGGGCAACTCCATCCCAAGTCCCCAGCCCGCGCCCCCCAGAACCACCAAGGCGCCCGCGGAGCCGAACACCCGACGCAGCCTCGAGAGGGCGGAGGTGTGCGGGCAGAGGGCGGCCGCCGAGAGCCGAGCCCGAGCCAGTCCCGCAACTTCCCGGGGCCTGGGGAGGGGCCGCGCGGCGCGGGCGGCTGGGGACTCACTTGAAGGTGAGGACGCACAGCGGCCGGTAGGACTTGTGGCTGGTGTTCTCGGCCATGCCCTTGCCCCAGAAGTCGTTGGAGAAGACGCCGCCGCGCAGCGGGGCGCCGGGCCGCACGTCGGGGTTGTTCACGATCGCCCACACGTCGTCGTGCACGAACTCGCCATGCAGCGAGCGGCCGTAGCACAGGCAGCTCGCCCCGGCCAGCAGCGCCACGGCCCCGGCCCGCGCCAGCGCGCAGCCCGGCCGCCGGGAGGGCGCGCGGTCCCCGCCGCCGCCGCTGCCGCGGGCAGACGCGGTCACCACCATCGCGCCGCCGCCGCCGCCGCTGCCCTGGGCTCGCCCGGGCGTGTGGCATCCTCCCCTGCCGGGGCCCCGGCGGCGCGCGGTGGCTGCCCGGAGGGGCGTTTGGGCACGGTGCAGCGGCAGCTGGACCCGCCGCGGGCGCCCCGCGCTCCGCCGCCGCCTGCACCGCCGACTTGGCCCAGCTGCAAATAAACAGCAGTCCCTCCGCCTCCCCCGGCCATCGCCACCTCCTCCGCCCCACTGCGCATGCCCGCTCGCGCTCACCGCCCCCCCCCCCACCCCCCGCCCAATCCCGCGACCGGTTCCCCCCACGCCCGCACCCTCCGCCCCCGCCTGGGCGCCCAGCCGCGCTGAGTCGGCGGGCGCCCGCGGCCCGGGCGGGAGTGGCAGCGCGCAGGTGCAGCAGGGGCGCGGCGCGACTGCCCCGGGAGGCAGGAGGGGCACTCGGGGTCCCGCTGCTGCGCCGGGCCGGGAGGACCTCCGGGGACGCCCCCGGGCCGCGGCAGGCGCGCGGAGCAGGTGCGCAGCCCGGACCCCCAGGCCCTAGGCGAGGCAGAGCAGCCGCGGCTTCCCGGGAAGACCCCGGCTTTTCGGCGCCGCAGCCCCGCGCTCCGGCCGCCCCGTCGCCGGCTCCGCCTGCCCCCGCCAGGTTTCTGCGGCCCGCGCGCCCAGCTCCGGGCGGAGCTGCCGAGGGCGCCTGCCACCAAGCCCTGGGTAAGGAGCTCGCGGCCGCTGGTCTTTGGCGGCACTCAGCAGCCCCGGGTTTCGTGTTGGCTTTGCTTCTGGGGACTGATTGTCAGCGCAAACGTTTGTCCACAGTTTGGTGAACTCCAGAAAGCCAGGGCGATGCCCACCAAACTACTTCTTCCTCCCGGCTGGATCCCTTGGGTCTGGTAAGATTATTTCCCAGGCTGAGGGCGGCTTTGCACTGCGCCTGCTAAGTGGATGCCAAGAAAAAAAAAATGCATGGGTCGAGGCCTCTGGCCCTGGCTCCTAAACTTCCCGTCTTTAAGAAAGATTGTTTTCTTTTTAGAACGACTAATTACAGTGCGCAGCTAAATTAGGTACAGCAGAGTGATGATTACAAAAACTGACTCAGGTTGGAAAACCTTCTTAATTCTCCCAGGCCCCGTGTAAATTTCCTCTGATTTGCGTCATTGACATTACCTGGAATTGGACAGCTCCAATTAAAAATCACCATTTTATTCCTATTCTTCCAAAATGTTCAAAGAGCTCATTGATCTAAGATAACAGTAAAATAAAAAGCATGCATGTGCTTCTAGTCTATTAAGTTTTTTTAAAAATTATTTCAAGACATCTCTGAGAAGTTGAAAACTCAATGAACTGAGACACACCTATTCCAAGTCTGGATACATTTCACCCATTTTCAAATTTCTTTTCCCTTTTTTGGTGACTTAAAATTACTGCCTGAGACCTGCGACTGGAAATCCTGAACATGGGTGTTTGCATCAAAGCCTTCTGGTCCGAGTAGCTTCAGTGTGCAGAACACAGGCACACCTGAGTCTCTTTTTCCCCACATAGCATCCTACAGCCCTTGCTCTTCACCTGTCCATCAACTCAGGTAAACTATATAAAGGGCGTACTTTGTTCTGCAAAGTGCTAAGTCTAGGGGTGGATCAGGAAAACTGCACAAAGTGTGTGTGTGTGTGTGTGTGTGTGTGTAACACCGCAGAAGCTTTCTATCTTAAAAGCTGACTTTTAGGATAGTGGCTTTACCCTTACTGAAATGAGAGCAGGTGCAATAGGCCAATATATCAATCCTTACCTATAATTAACAGAGGCTTCTCCCTCCCCAGAGATAATAGAAGGAAGCAGAGAAAGGGAATCTCAAGGTGGGTCCAGGTGTCTGCGCCCAAAGATGGATTAAGCCCCATGTAGGTTTGGTGGCATCTTTGTTGAGTTCCGATGATATTGTCAACAAAAACACCTCTCCCGCCTCCTCCCCACTGAGCTATGCTGTTTTGCGGGTTAGTCGCATTAAATGCATTTTCCACGTGGGATATTTTCATCTTACAAAGGATTTGTCGGTACAGAACAAATGAAAAACCTCGAGACCTCTCAAGGACCATCTAGTAAGCAATAACTTTTTGCATATTTCCTTCTCAGCTTCGTCATCTGATTCGAGTGCACACTGGATGACAGGAAGACCTTGAAAGCACCGATGTCAGAGAGGGGTTCCCAAGGATCCCCTCTGGGGTCTTAACACCCACCGGGCTCGTCAAGGGGCCTGAAGGAAAAGCAGACTGTGATTATTTGTACAGGACTGGTATCCAGAGGAATACTCCTTGCTCCGATGCCTTCTGTCCACTCGGGGCGGGTTAAACAGGAGGAAGCACAGAATCCCCACTCTGCGGCTCACGCAGATGAAGTCACACATGCAAATGAACTGCACTCTTCAAAGAGCTTTGGACACAACTGAAAATAAACCAAGGGCAAGTAGGTATCTTAGTGAAACACACTCCACGTTACTGCTGACGGTCCTAACCAACCCTTGCATCAGACGTCTCTCCTCGGCCCTTACCTGCTAAGTCAGTTTGGCAAGAAGCCCCACCCTGGATGTCTGAGCACCCTCAGAATCGGATGAGATTGCTCTTTGCCACCTCCGCCCCTCCCCGGGATCTCTGACCACAGGGTCCTGTCTTCAGGAAGAGCCCCCTCTGAACCCAGACGTCCCCTCTCGCTGTCCATCCCGGGACAGGCTCCTTGGCTTGGCTGTATTCAGACTGAATGCACTTTCCCCTCTGTAGGAACCCCCTGCTGTTGGCCCTGTATCAGGCATCATGGCCCTGGATGAAATCTTCACCATGCTTTCTCAAGTATCCTTGGATTTTTTTTTTTGCTTTAGTACTGCCCCCTGGACTTTTTCAGTCTGATGATGGACCCTGTCCAGGATATGCTATACAAATGATTGAACACTCTGCTACAAAAGTGCATAGTCAGCAAAAGGATTGATAACACACTTTACGTTCAAAAACAAACTCTAGGGGGTAGGTACTTGTGTGTAGCCTGTCTTTGAAGAAAATACAGAAGAGTAGAAAGAATTGGAAAATTCTTGTTACCCTACTGCCCACCCGATAGGCCTATGGGACATTAGGCACAGTGTGCTCTGAGAAGCTGGCCCGGCACTTGGCACTCTGGGCTGCCACCTGGCCTAGAGCTGTGGCTGTGGCAGCCGAAGCTGCAACCGCAGCAGTGACAAGGGGCTCTTCATGGAGGTGACCTGGCTCCCATTCCATCCCGGCAGGACAGCTCTGTGGTTCTGCCCAGGCTTCGAATTCAGGAGTATCAGAAATGGTCACCTTGCATCTTGCGGTCAGCCTAGTGAGCAGCTTACCACCAGATAAAAGCCTGCACATGCACCAATGCCTGCGGTAGGGCAGGGGAAGTAGCTTTCTCCTTCCACCCTTCTTGGTTCTTGGCTAGGTCTCTGGATCAAATGATAGAGTAAGAAGAGAAAAGCGTACACGTCTCTCTAAACCAAGTTGTTTGTGACTTGGGAGCCTTCCCGAGGAAATGAAGGAGTGAAGAGACAGTTGCACTGAGTAGGTTTTGTACTAGGCTTGGTGGACAACAGAGAATCATGGGACTACGGGATGGGACTACACAAAGACTTAAAGGTAAGTACACCATGGAGGCTCCTCTGGACATGCCCCACCTTTGCAATAAGCTCTTCTTTTCTCCAGTAAGAGAGAAGACGCCTCTCCCCTGAGGGTCTTAGGACCTGCTTCAGGGGAAGGCCTGAGAGCCCTCCCTGCACCTGCCATTTCGTGAATTCCTGGTGTTTCAAATCATTCCATATGTCAACATGTCATATCTGGGGACACATGTTCGGAATCGCATCAAGATCAAGGACCTTTTAGAATTCTTCAATGAATTTACAATCTTCAGCTTTGGAAACTGGCACAACATCGCAAAGCAAATATCCACCGTCTCAGACATCAAATGTTAACATTATTATGTATGACAGACAAGAACACTATTTTCATACGAATGGAATTTTAATTGCATATCAATCAAAAATCTACTTTTGGTGTCTTGTACAATCTCCACAATTCACAGGAAATGTCAGAGGAAGCACTGAAAAACCATGGAGCAAATTAACATTTAAAATAAATTGGACTTACAGCAAAAGGCTCTGTATGAAGACGTCACTTTTTTTTTTTTCAGAAAGCAGTCCATCAGATTCAATCCATGAGTTCTAGACGTATTTTAGATTTTGAAGGAATAGGGAGCAAATTAACATTTAAAATAAATTGTACTTACAGCAATTTGTATGAAGGTGTAATTATTTTTCAGAAAGAAGTCCATCAGATTGAATTCATGAGTTCTAGATGTATTTTAGATTTTGAAGGAATTTATCAGAAGTTTAATGTTGTCATAGCCCATAAAACAGTTCTAGTAACAGCTGGATCAGCAGAAAGATACTCCCATAAATCAGAATATCACACAGAAGTCCCGGCCAGAGCAATGGCTGTGTCCGCAGTGTGACTATTGGACAGCCTGGCTGATGTCCCGTTACCAGTTGATGTCACTGAAGCCAACACGGGAGGAGACGCTGAGCACATCCCTGTGCAGGGTTCCCACCAGGCAGACATGATGGATGAAGTGAGATGGTGAGTCTGTTAATAGTGAGGTAATGAGAAAATGATGAGTTTTGGGCATTGTCTTTAATTTTAATTTAATTTACATGGTTTTTAGCTTATAGAACTTAATTTTTAGCATGGCTGTGCTTAATGAGTAAGTTACGAACGTCCAAAGCCTGCAACAACCTGCTCTGGGGAACCAGTACGAGTGGAGTCCCACACGGTATATCGGTGTATATTATTGGTGTTGCAGTTTTGAACTTGAAGGTTCAGTGTGGGGTTGGTCATGTGTGTGTGCAGTGAAGGACTGACCTCACCCACAAAGGGCTCCTGCCCCTGGCTGCCAGGCGGCCTCACAGCAGCGTCTCTGTACCTGGGGCGGTGGCACTGGGCAGTCTGACAGTACTGTTCATGATGGGGGCTTTGGGCCCACAGTGTCCCCTCTCACCCTGGGGGAACGAGAGACAAGAAGCAAAAAGGGGGCCAGGATTCACGACGTGGGCATCAGACTGTGCCCATGACTCCCTTTAGTACTGTCTTTCTAATTTTAAAATTCCTATAATACCAAGTTTTTGTTTTAGCTTTTCTTTCTTTTCACTTGATTTAAAAGAGAGACAGAAAAAGACTGAGACCTTCATCCTGTGGTTCACTCAACAAACACCCACAACAGCCATCACGTGCTATCTCCCCAGACGCACGTGAGCAGGAATCTGGCCTCAGGAGCAGAGCTGGGACTTAGAAAACCCTTAGGAGATGCTGGCGTCCCAAGCAGTATCCTCACAGCCAGGCCACCCGCCCGCCAGCTGGCTACCCTAGAGAAGAGAAGCAGCCTCAGGCACTCCCAAGGCTGTAAGGCAGAACTCTCCTCTTTTTCCCTGTTTCAAGTCTGTACGAAGGACTAAATACAAACAAGCAACTCCCCACCAAAGCAAACAAAGAGCAAGACCCCCAACCCCTAGAGCTGCTGCGGGTCTGAGGCTGGCTTCTGCCATCAGCAGCGCATGTGGGACTGTGAGGGTGTCAACAGTGAGGCCCAGCACAAACAGAGCTGTAGGAGAGAGAGCCCCAGTACTGAGGGAAGCCGCAAAGTCTGCGCGGGAGATGTAAACTGTTTTTTATAACCATCAATATTTAGTGTTTTATGTCCCGTGCTCTACAGTAACACTCTGTCTTAATGTGTTTCATTTAATGCTGCACTTCTTTGTTTTATTGAACTACAAAATGGTTTTGTTCAAGGGATTCCCTTCTTCGCAGCAAGTCCTGAGGTCCACTCTGCCCCCACCCCCACCCGTTAGCAGGTTCAGCTATGTCATTTCTGGACCAGTGTGACATGAAAATGAGCAGCGCCTTGTCCCCAGATTATGCACAATACCCAGAGGATGAGAGCGGAGCACTGAACTGAAAAGGGAGTCCTTCCCAGCAGTGGGCTTCTCTGTGCACACGGCCGTGTGTGAGGGCACAGGTGGGGTCTCTCCAGCTGGTCTGTGCACTCTTGGGGACCAGTGGTCTTGGCAGACAGAATGAATTGGCTCAGAGTACAAGCAAGCTATCAAGTCTGCGGAGACTGCTATCCATTTATGTTAGCTCACAAATCGAACAACGGAACGAGAAGGGAAGGCCCAGTAGCTCAGTGAGAAAAGATGGAAGATCATTCTTTTTTTTTTTTTAAGACTTTATTTATTTATTTGACAGAGTTACAGACAGAGAAGAGAGAGAGGGAGAGAAGGGGAGAGATGGGTTTTCCATCTGCTGGTTGACACCCAAGATAACTGCAATGGCTGGAATTGGGCCCATCCGAAGCCAGGAGCTTCTTCCGGGTCTCTCACGTGGGTGCAGGGGCCTAAGCACTTGGGCCATCTTCAACTGCTTTCCCAGGCCATAGCAGAGAGTTGGATTGAAAGAGAAGCAGCTGGGACTTGAACTGGCGCCCATATGGGATTCTGGTGCCACAGGCGGAGGCTTGCCCACTGCACCTCAGCGCTGGCCCCAGAGATGATTATTTCTAAGGGCAACTGCTTTATCTCCAGGTATAATCCACATTTCTTGACAAAGAAAACCTAGCATGGCCGATTCTTCAGTCCTTTTCACCAAAGGGGATACAAGCCATTGACTGGTGGCAGATAGATTTTCCAGGGTCTCTTGTACTCTTCTGTTGACTGGTTCACTCCCCAAGTGGGGAGTGGTGATGATGGACAATCCCGGGCCAGGCCAAAGCCAGGAGCTCCAAGTGGGGGGTCTCACATATGTAGCAGGGACAAGCACTTGGGCCATCTTCCACAGCCTTCCTAGGCGTTTTAGCAGGGAGCTGGATCAGAAGTAGAGCAGCCGGGACTTGAACCAGGATCGAGAGTGATGTCTTAACCTGCTCAGCTACAACTCCGGCCCCTGGAATTTCATCTTTGCTCCATCTGTAGTAACGTGAAGGCAGGAGAGAGTGAACTGATCCCCCCGTAGTACTCTCTGGGTGTGACTGGGAATGTGGCAGGCATGACAAAAAGTGAGAGGGACTTTTCCTTGCTACAACAGAAGACCTGGTAATTCCAATCAACTCTTCTGACCATACACCCAAAGCCAGCTTAAAGCAACAACAGGGGCAGAGCAGTTAAGACAGCACTTAACATGCCACGCCCCTCATTAGAGCGTCTGGCTCAGAGTCCCCACTCGGCTTCTGATGCAGCTTCCTGCCAAGGTGCACCCTGGGAGGCAGCAGGTGATCGCTCAAGTACTTGGGCCCTGCCACCCACGGGAGAGATCCACATGGAATTCCTGGCTCCTGGCTTCAGCACGATCCAGACCCGTCTGAAGCAGGAACAAATTCAATAAATAAACATTGAAAGCCACATTCGCCTCCTTAGCTCAGATGATTAACCACAGAGCCAAGTCACGCCAGGACGAGGTGAGGAGGAAGCCCAGCACCTGGGCCCCTTTTGCTGAGCAAGGCTCTGACACTCTGTGAGGACCAGAGAGGCCAGTGGGCATCCAGGGGCCACCAAAGACCGGGCCCTGCCAGCCCCCTCCAGCTTGCAGGGGTGGGGCCTAAGAAGGACCGTGAAGAGGAACAGGCAGTCGGCCACCACTTCTGCTGGCTCCAGCCCGGTTTCCAGGGATCCTGCTGGCCTCAGGAAAGGTGAAAGAAAGAGTTCACAGAGAAAAGCCCAGAGGCTCGCATCAGAAAGCCAATCCCGGAGCAGACCGTGCGGCTGCGTTCCAGGGAAGGAAAAGATCGCAGATGAAAGTGCAGAGATAGAGGGGGATTTACATGGTGAACACGGTGCTGTGTGATTAAGCCTCCTTGGAAATCGCCTGCTTACAAATCTCGGGAGACAGAAAGGGGATGCCCAGGTGTCAGGGCTGGGAGGACGGCAGTGGGGAGAGACTGTTAATAAGCACGCGGGCTCTTTTTAGGCGGAAACGCTCTAGGATTCGATTGTGGTGATGGTTGCAGAGTTCTGTGAGAGTACTAACATCCATTGAATTGCACACATCAAAGGGATGAATTCTGTAGTATGTAAATGATCTCTCACTGCAGCTTTTATTTAAAAACAAAGAAAAATTCATGGCAACAATAGTATGTAAATTAAAAATGACTTCATGGACTTATTTTGAGAACACTGAATGGAATGGGAGGAGCACAGATGCGCAGCTAGCCACTGGGCTGTACAATTGTTTCATGCACGTTTGGTAGCTGCCCTCTCTCTCTCTCACCACACACACACACACACACACACACACACAATGATGCAGTGAAATGAGAAGCAACTAAGCCAGAAGTGCTAATACTAACATATACTTGGTTTTCCAAACCAACTCCTCCTCGAAGAACTCATCACAAGGGGCCAGTGCTGAGACACAGCAGGTTAAACCTCTGCATGCAGCGCCGGCATCCCATATGGGCGCCAGTTCGAGTCCCGGCTGCTCCACTTCCCATCCAGCTCTCTGCTAAGGCCTGGGAAAGCAGTAGAAGATGGCCCAAGTCCTTGGGCTCTTGCACCCATGTGGGAGACCCAGAAGAAGCTCCTGGCTCCTGGCTTCAGGCAGGCCCAGGCCCAGTCATTTGGGGAGTAAATCAGCAGATGAAGACACTCTCTCTCGCTCTCTTTTTCTGTAACTCTTTCAAATTAATAAATAAATTAAAAAAAAAAAAGAACTCAAAAGAAAACAATGATGCAGTTTCCAAGAAGAAATATGGGGAAAGATAAAAACTTTTCTCTTAGATTATCTTCCTCAAATGGTACGTGTAAGGCAATGTGGCAACTTAGTAAATGCAATAAATGCTGACCACCTCTGAAAATGAAAACATAAAGTCTAAACAATACAGCTGTTTTGTTAATAAGGCTGTGGTTTTACAAATGTTTTTTCTGCTTTTTAAATACTCTCTGTCCTAAAGCATTCTCCTGGGCTTAAGCTACCAAGAGAGGGACCAGCGCTACCCTGTGTGGCCCTGCAGCGTAGCATACGGCCAGGCAGCCACCTGATGGAAGGGGTGAGAGTCTGAGATTCCCCAGGGATCCAGGATAGGATTCCAGCAGATGTTTAGGATGTCCTGGAGGAGGAGAGAACATTCACTTTTAACTTTTCCTATTCAAATGTAGATTACAATTATCTGCAAAGCTTAAAAATAGAAAATGACACATTTGTAGAACTGCATAAAGCACTGAATGAAACTGAATAAACCCACCCCTAGAGGCATGCGACCCTGAGCCCTGGCGATGGGGTGGAGTTGGGGGAGGGGAGGACACTTCCGGTCCACGGAGGAGTGATTCCCTCCGCTCCTGCCAAGGCAACTGCAGGCGGGACTTGAAATTCATGAAATCCATAGCAGGCTCATTTTTAGATAATTTTGTGTGACCCACAAATGATGCTAATAAATACCCAAAAGGCCCTTGGCAGAAGAAGGTTCCCACCCCCATGGGCTTCGCTTCTACATGGTTGCTTCTCTCACGGCGTTGTAGATGTTAGCTCGGAATTCAGATTTAGAGCCAGGTCCACCTGGTTTCCCACCTCCTGGATGGAGCTCCCCACAGCCTCCAGGACCAGTGTTGTGGCGCAGGGGGCTAACCCGTTAGCCACATGGCGTTCCATGTCAGAGCAACCGCCTGAGCCCTGCTAAGGAGCCTGGGAAGCCAGCGGAATGTGGCCCAAGTGCTTCGGCCCCTGCACCGTGTGGGAGACCTGGGTGGAGTTCTGGGTTCCTGGCTTCAGTCTGGCCCAGCCCTGGCCATTGCAGCCATTTACAGAGTGAACCACTGGATGGAAGATCGATCTCTCTCTCTCTCTCTCTCTCTCTCTCTCTCTCCCTCTCTCTCCCTCTCTCTCTCTCCCTCCCTCCCTCCCTCCCTCTGCCTCTTCCCTTCTCTGTCACTCTGCCTTTAAAACACACCTAAAAAATCTTTAAAAAGTAGGGGCCGGCGTAGTAATACAGTGGATAAGGCCACCACCTGCGACGCCGGCATCCCTTATGAGCCTGATTCATGTCCGGGTGCTCATTTCCAATCCAGCTCCCTGCTCACGGCCTAGGAAAAGCAGCTGGAGGTGGCCCAGGTATTTGAGCTCCTGCAGGATGAAGCTCCTGGCTCCTGGCTGTGCCCTGGCTCAGGTCTGACTATTGCAGACACCCGGGGAGTGAACTAGCAGATGGAAAATCTCTTTGTGTCTCTCCCTCCCTCTTTCAAACAAACAAGCAAAACAAGCAAAAATCTTTAAAAAAAAAAATAAGTAAAATGAAGCTACTGCAAATCTTCCCAAACCTGCAAACAAGGACATTCACAGTATCTGAGTTTCTCTTCTTTAGGCTTCTTTTGTGTCTAACCTATGAGCTATCATTTAAGATCTAATCTCTTTACTCTTCCAGTGTAGACGAAGAACAATTCCGCAGAGAAATGTTTTGTTTTCCTAACTCTTGTGGAATAGTTAGCTTTTCATATAACCTTGTTGCTTGAATGTCAAAATGAACTTGACCCTTTTAAAAGCTGTCTGTGCAGCTTTAATTTGCGGACTTTAACTGAACTCAGCAGAGGCTGTTCAGTATCTAAAGTTTCATCTCAGAAGAAACCAGATTAGAAAATGCCAGCCCTGCCCCACAGAGCCTGGCAGACACGGAATCCTGGCCTGGCTGGGTCCGTGGTGGGAGCCGTCACCAGACAGAGGCTGCGGCACACAAAGGAATGGAGGGATTAAGGCAGAATGTGGGCAGGCAGCCAGAGTCGGCAGGAGGCAAAACGTCAGTGGTCACTCAAATGTGAGAGCCCGAGAATCCGAGTCCTGAGACCAAAGTGTCTTGGAACAGAACGGGCGCTGGGGGTGTGGGCACATGGGCCAGACTGGGGGGCTGCACACTCACCTCCAGGACACGGCTTGCTGTCCCAGGGCCGGGATGGGCTCAGCATCTCTGTGCTGGGCGACCGCATTTCAGGTGCATCACAGACACCCAGCACCTGCTCACCTGCGATGGAAGGTGCCACGGGGAAGCTGCACTGGAAAGCAAAGTCCTGAGACGAGACTGTGTCCCGTGGAGGAATCTGCAGTCACGTGATTGGCTCAAACAGATTCTGTCACCCGTAAGGAGTAGGAAAGCAACATCAGGGGAAGTTTGCTTTGGCCTAGTGAGGAGGAAAGGGTTTAGAAAAAGGACAAAAGCCCATTAGAAAGCATTCGTGTTGCCATGTTTATCTTCAAAATGTTTTCTTCCATATTGTGGTCTGGTTTCATGTATGATAGCATAACTTGTGAATTAATTAATACTACTTTAACAATTATTCGGCGTAAATAATGTCAATACTCTATATTCCTAGAGTCGGGGTCTAAACAGGTCACAACCAGGGGTGACACTGAAAATTCCTTATCCAGCCACTCAGGGCAAGGGCGTTGGTCAAGGCTGGACCAATCAGAATGGAGCCCCGCCTTAGACCTTGGGCAGCTGTTGGCAGGTTCAACATTAACCCTTTATTTTCAGGGAGTTCGGAGAGTACAGCAGGGGCTGGGCTAAGGCAGCAGAGCGTCGCCATTTATACGTGCTTTCTAGAAGTACTGCCATATTTTACTGACCTGTTTACAAGGCACAGCTCTGGGTGCCCACAGCTCCTGCGTACGGACCAGAGGACCGAAAGCACAGGATGAGAGCACAGGGCTCTGTGGCCAGGCGGCTGGGGAGCGAACCTCAGAAGAGCCGCTGACCAGCTTGGGAGCTTGGGAAGCTTCAGCTGATGTAAGAACATCCATGCCAGTAAAGTGCTTCAAAGAGCATCTAGTGCATAGTCAATGCTCATTTTCTTCAGCCAATATTTTCTATTGATGTGGTTATTTGGAACACTGTACAGAACAGAAAAAAATATACTGTGTTTGATTAGCAATATGTGTCAAAGCTAAGGAAAGCGAAGTGACAAGATGGACCCTAGGATGACCAGTTCCACCCAAGTCCAAGCCCAAGGTCTGGCTCCAACATGTGGAGGGAAAGGTTCAGCAAAGAACCTGGCTGCTGATTCCGGCTAGCTCAACAAGGAGAACAGAGGACGCCTGGCATGGGACAAGGCTTCTTTCCTAGGTCCATACTTGGTGCACTTCTGTAAAGACTGACTCGGTATGAGCCCACTTGGAGAGCAAAGGGAAAGCCCACAGAAGATCTTGAGAATCTTCCAAGCAAGGTCTGTGCCCCCCAGGAGTTCCCCAGGCCCAGCCTCAGGATGTCTCGTGGCACACAGAGCCCGCATCTCGACTTGCTGTAAAGAAACCACCCAAAAACAGACTCACAATGTGTCTGCTCACTTGTCCTGAGAGCTCGTGAGCCAATCTCATTAGCAAAGTAAGCCACAGACAGATAGATAAAAAGAAATGAGAAAAAAGAGCAGAAATCAAAGAAGTATATTGAAATAATCTGAAGACTGAATTGAATTTAAAATATTCCTATATAGAAAACTCGAAACCCAGAGGACTTTACTAGTGAATTCCATCAAATATTTATAGAAATATAATATTTATAGAAATAGAAATAGAATATTTATATTATTATTTTTAAATTTTAATTAGTTTTTAACAGATTCAATGTGCTTTGCAGATATAATTCTAAGAACATAATACAGATAGAGTTAATTGTATGTATATAAAGTTAATTGAAAATAGATCTTAGTAAAAATAAGAATGGGATAGGAGAGGGAAGAGGGGTTGGGAGCGGTGGTGGGAGGATGGGTATGGTAGGAAGAATCAGTATGTTCCTAAAGTTGTATTTATGAAAAGCATGTTTGTATTCCTTAAAAGGTTTCTGCGGGGAAAGAAAGGAACATAATACAGAATTTTATACTATACATTATATATCACACAGATATTTATATATTTATATTACTTATAATAGATGATGTTGTAAATCTTATAGATAAGATTTATAGAGGAGCTGGCACTGCAGCACAGAGGTTAAGCCTCTGCCTGCAGCACCAGCATCCTGTACAGGTGCTGGTTTGAGTCCCAGCTGCTCCTCTTCTGATCCAGCTCCTTGCTAATGGACTGGGAAAGCAGCAGAGGATGGCCCAAGTCCTTGGGCCCCTGCACCCACGTGAGAGACCTGAAGGAAACTCCTGGCTCCTGCCTTTGGATCGGCCCAGCTCCAGCCATTGCGGCCATTTGGGAAGTGAACCAGAGGATAGAAGACATCTCTCAGTCTCTCCTTCTCTCTGTCTGTAACTTTACCTCTGAAGTAAATGAAAAAATTTAAAAAAAAAAGATTTATTATAACATTACAACAGCAACCCCATATAAAATATTTCACAACACAGAAGAGGGAGGTAAACTCATCAACTAGCCTTTAAGACCAGGATTTTACATTATCAAAATCAGAGCTATTACATGGAAAAAAAAATTAGAGGGACTGGCGCTGTAGCACAGTGTAGCACTGCTGACTGCAGTGCCAGCATCCTACATGGGTGCTGGTTCAAGTCCCAGCTGCTCTACTTCCAATCTAGATCTCTGCTATGAGCCTGGGAAGGCAGTGGAAGACAGCCAAGTGCTGGGACCCCTGCACCCATGTGGGAGACCTGGAAGAAGCTCCTGGCTCCTGGCTTTGGATTGGCCCAGCTCTGACCTTTGCTGCCATTTGGGAAGTGAACGAGCAGATAGAAGATGGATTTCTCTCTCTCTCTCTCTAACTCTGCCTTTCAAATAAATTTTAAAAACTTTTAAAAAAAGTTTATTTAAAGATAATTAGAAACCAAAATCTCACTTGAACACAGATGCAAAAATTTCCAGTAAGATTTTTAAAAAGATTTGTTTATTTATTTAAAAGGCAGAGTTAAAGGAAGTGAGGGAGAAACATTTGGTTCATTCCCCCTGAAGTCCATAATGAACAGGGCTGGGCCAGGCCAAAGTCAGGAGCCTGGAATTCCACTGGGTCTCCCAGGTGGGTGACAGTGGCCCAGGGGTTCAGCAATCTGCTGCTGCCTTCACAGGCACATTAGCAGGGAGCTGGATCAGAAGTGGAGCCGCTGGCACTTGGTGGGATACTGGCATCACAGACAGCGGCTTAACTCTGTGCCGTGATGGCAGCCCCCAAGGGAGACGTTTTAAAAGAAATGTTATCCATACGTAAGAAAGTAAAATATGATCGTGTAATACATATTCTAGATAAAAAGTGGGTCTAATGTGAAAAACCAATTACTTGGTTAATTTAATCACTGTACTAACATAAAAGAAGAAAAACACAATAATTTCAGAGACGCAGAACAAATCATTGAAAATTTTAAGTCATTCAAGGTAAAAAAAAATTGTCAATAAACTCCAAATGAAAGGAAACTTCCCCAACTTGATCAGGTAGGCCTCCACTAACACAGCTCTCAGCATCCTCCTCTAAGCATAAAGGATGATTTCCTTCCTAAGAGTGGGTACCAATCGGGCATGCTGTGTTCCCAGCTTCTCTCTCTCACCCTCCTGTTCAGTGCAGTGAGGCCTCAGAGAGAAACAGCACGAATATGCTGTAGAAAGGGTGCAAAGTGTCTTCATCAGCAGATTACATGGTTTTATATCTAGAAAATTCTTAGGAACCTTCTAGAAAGCCAGGACTCAAACAAGGATGCAGGCAACAGCTGGACCCACTGGGCCACAGAGCTGTCCCCTCCCAGGAGCAGGGCCGTTTTCTGGGGGGCACTGCTGTGGATCCACACCCCAGAAGCATTCCAGTGGAACTGGTATCTTGCTAGCGTTGGGAGAAAAGAAGCGGCCAGTTAAATTTTCACATGAAATTTTACTCTAAGTCTCTTCCATGGAATGTTTATTCTTTATCTGAAAATCAGACTCCAGTGGATGACTCGGATTTTTACAAGGGTAAGCCTGCCCATGCTCTCTCTAGATCATGTAGTGAATAATATAATCCCATGAAATAACAGTGCACAGCTCATTAAGTATTATAAAATACACTCGGACCTCAAAGTGCCTTCTTATCTTTCAGTCAAATGTCAGTGTTGTTGTCCTGATAACTGATGAGACTCAAATGTTGTAGGGATCAAAAAAAAAAAAAAAGCAAAAAGGCAGCCATGCGATTCATTTGTATATAGAGAAATACCCAACACCCCATCAGTCCAGTGAAGACGGTAATACCTCCGGACTGTAGATCGTCCAGGTTCCAGAGAGGAAAGAATGGCTTTGCTGAGGAAAGTTGACAGGAACTACATTTTAATTTCCTTTGGAAAATTCCCCCATGCATTCGGCTGTGCTCCTATCCAGTGCGTGCCTGCACACACAAACACACAGTCTGTTTATTTCGGTTGCAATCCAGTTCCCTGTTATTTTTATCTGCACAAAAAACATCGCAAGGTAATATCCAGCCATGAAGATCTGCTGTTTGCTTGGACCATGCCAATAAACGTTCCCCTCTACTGAGAGGCATCCACGTTTCTCAGGGGTCGTCACCCCGTAAAAGCTGACGGACGGATGGGCTGACAAAGCCTCCCAGGCCTGGGCTGGGGCCGTGTGAGCTCCGTGCCTGGAAACAATAAAGCAGCAGTTTTCTGAGAGATCTACCTGCACAAGAGCCAGGGACATAAAAGCCTGGTGCGGTTTCCCACCCCAAGCGTGCTCTGCGCTTGCTCCCCAGAGGGGCCTGGGAGGACTGCACGCTGTCAGGTTAATTGAGGGTGACGTGGAATGGAACTCAGCGGCCACGCTGTGATGGCTGCGAGGGGGAGACCGGCGTGGGGGGCGGGGATCAGAGGAGCCGGCTCCAGCCTGGCCAGGGTGGAGGCTCCGGGTTGGAGACCACAGGAGCAGAGGCTGCAGGGTGAGCCGAGGGCAGCACTTGTCTCTGGGCTGCTGGACCGAGGCAGCTGCCGACACTGACACGCAGTGGTTCTGGCTCCCGCTTCCTGCTAACTCACACCCTGCGAGGCAGCAGCTGAAGGCTCACAGGGTTGTGCCCCTGCCACCCACGTGGAAGACCTGGATTGAGTTCCTGGCTCTCAGCTTCAGCTGGGGGTCGGGTGACTGGAGCAGTGGATGGAACATCTCTCATTCACTCAAATAAACTAATTTAAAAAATAAAACTCATGCTGGGAGTTGTCAGCAAGCTGTAAGCTCCAGGGGCTGCACCCTGGAACCAGGCCTTGGAAGGCCACGGAGCAGGAAGGGCTGGGTGCCTGGAACTCAGGGGTCTCAAGAGAGCCAGGGTAGGGGGCCCGCCCTACAGTGGCTGGGGATGTGCTGGGAGGGAAGCTGTCAGGATCTGGGTCCTCCACGTCAGGGCAAGCGATCACTGGACCTTGGCCTTGGGGAAGTCTGGGTCCAGGGGGCCCACCCAGGGCCACAGCCTCTCAGATCCTTTCTCATTTAGAATGTACACAGCCTTGAAGGCTCTGCCTGCCATTGCCAGCTCTCCTGTGGTGACCTAACTACCATGAAACAGTTCACCTCTGGCTTCACCTGGCAATGCACAACTCATCCAAATATTGCATAACTACACACTTAAAAAACTCTGGATGGGCTAAGAAAATTCTCCTTTAATGGGCTTTGGAGCTCTCAATGCAAATAGTCCATTTTGTTTTTTTTCAGGGCTTACACCCCAAAGGTGAGATAATGTGGGATGGTGCGACGTGATGGAGAGACAGGCCATCACTCTCAAGGCAGAAAGGGTTGTTAGCCCCACAGCCCTGAGCTCCCCGCCCTCAGAAGATGGTTCCCAGTTTGTTAAGCTCATTCTGAAGATGGTTCAGGAAAGGGACTGAGAGGAAGGAGTGCAGCCAGACCCTGGGCACAGAGCTGGAGAACCCAGATGAATGCAACCAGGCCTCTTCCCCTCACAGGCGTTCCCGGGCGGACCCTGGCATGGGTCAATCCCACACAGTGCTGCAGGAGGCCATGGGCCACTACCGGCTGGCATCTGGATGCCCCAGAGTGAGCTTTGAAAGCCTCAGGAGGCCCAGTGACAGCCATGTGGTGCTGGACGCCATGAGCAGCAGGGCTGTGAGGAGGGTACACACCTGTCTTAGAACGGAGGTGCAGGCCAGAGAGGGACGCAACACTTCCCGGCCCAAGCTGGAACACTACCAATCCGTGTTCGGCTGCAGGATCCACACCTCCGATTATGGCCTCGGTACTGGCCCTTGACGGAGCTGTCTTGGATTCCACTGACTTTGCCTTGCCTGGAGCAGTAATGGGAAGCCCATCTGGGGCCCCTGCCCAGCCTGAGATAGAAGTCAGAGGACAGGCCCAGCCCCAGGCAGAGGCAGAATGGGTTTCGGAGGCTCTGGCTGGGTGTCAGGACTGGGGGCAGCTCACGAGCGCTTCCCAGAGGGTAGCTCTGGTCTGCAGGCTCGGCGTCCTGGCCGTCTAACCCGCCCAGGCATCACCCCCGGGCGTCTGCAGGGGAGGCATTTCTGGCCTTAGTGCTCTCATTAAATGAGGCTCAGTCAGTGATTTTCTGTTGCAAGGATGAGCAAGTGTTTCCCATAAGTTGCATCTCATTTTGCTAATATCACTAATTTCTTTGCTTTCTTGCACCCGATCAATCATTTCACTTCATCTGTGGATTTCATTAATGAGTCATTGACTCCCTCTTCCAGATCGCTAGTGAAGATGTCAAAATTCTGAGCAGACCTGTGGCTCTGATCCGCCACGGCTCGCTGCTGGCGGCCGTGACAGCCCCTGGAGGAGGCATCCATCACTCTCATCATGGGCCTTCCTTACCCCAAACCAAGTTTAACCCATTCTGCAAGAAACACTTCTTAGGCTATTGTAAAAATTTCTGTGGTCCCAAGGAATTCCTCACTTCCACAGGGCCCAGACACACGGGCACCTGACACAACACGATGAACACGGCCGTGAGATGCCAGGCTCCGCGGCCCGTACTGCAGGCCCCGCCGTGCGCTCACCTTGTCCATGGAGGCACAGAAGGGTGATGCCCTTGGCTACACTCCTCTCGTCGTACGGCTTCCCAGCATCCGCACTTCCCTATGGTCTTGTTTTTCCCAGGTGCCAACTCACTGCTTACAACTTGGGCTGGAACTGATGCTGCAAACCAACCACCCACTCACTGACCAGGAAGAGAGAAGATGTGGAGCGATGCGGAGCTCCCACCCCTTAGATCGTGGATCTGAAACAGATTTTCAGGATGTTCCTAGGTGATGAGTGGGTGCACTGTCCTAGCGCTGGGGTGATCCAGGGCAACACAGAGTACGACCTGCCATTTCGTGTTTTTCTCTTGCAAATGTAATTCCAAATGTTCCAAAAGACATGTCCTGTGTCTTGGTCCATTTGGACTGCTATAAGAAAAACACCATAGACTGAGGAAACTATAAGCAGTAAAAACTCATGCTCGTGGTTCCACAGGTCAAGAACGGCAAGATCAAGGCACCAGCAGATTGGATGCTGCTCACAAGATAGTGCCCTGCTGGCTGTGACCTTCCAGCCTGTGTTGTCAGGGGCTGGTGTCACCAGGGAGAATGGAGTCCTGGTGATATAATCACCTCCCCAAGGCCCCACGTCTTAACACCAATAACTAAGAAGTTGGGTTTCAACATATGAAGGAGGGGTGGGCATGGGCATGGAGGAAACACACATTCAGACTACAGAATCCCCCAAATAATGAAAGGAGAGAAAAGAGACAAAGAACAACAACATAAACACACTGATGAGTGCTGTGGGCAGCAAACCTTAAAGACATTAGCGTTTCCTACAAGCAGAGTCAACACACATTTCACTCTGCCTTGATTGCTGATAATGACCTTGGCTGGGTCTGAAACGTTTCAAACTCAGAAGCACTCAGGCAAGACATCTGCATCCTTGCCCAGGCCCCTCCGGGAACAGAAAGCACCAAAGCCCCACCAGTGCACCACGGTACACAGGCCGTGGAAGCAAGAGAGACACGGGCACTGTGGGGCAGGACTGATTTTAAATGCTCATGCAATGAGTGCCAACCGGAAGTGCCCTGGCTGAAGACAGACTCATCAGCTTGTGAGGCACTGCCTTCGGCAATGTTTTCCTTCTTCTATTAGGAGACACTCTAAGCCAAGTATCCTCTCTTGTAACAAAGGGAAAATGATATGAGCTGTCCTCCTTCCCAGAGGACTCAGATTGGCGACCTACAGCAGGATACGTGAAAGCGCTTGGGCAATTGAAGTGATGTAAGTGGGGTTGTTCTTGGTGTCAAAGAGAAGAGTGACATTGTGGGGAATCGGGATGGGTACAAGCTCCGAAGTCTGGAGGCTGAAATCTCACTGCCTGTGTGTGTGCTTGTGAGTGCCGGTGTGGATAAGAGTGCATGGACATGCAAGAGGAAGGAAGCAATGCACCTGTCACTCTAACAGCATGCTGAGCGGAGACACACCGCCCAACACAGGAGATGGTAGACCCAAGAGAAAAATATTTTTGAAGAGGGGCATTCTGATGAGTCAGAGAAAATGGGAAAGAGGGAAGGGGGAGGCTGTGATGGGCTGAGTTTACACCAGAAGGGAATCTGGCAAGAGGTTCAGGCAGTCAGCTCCACCCGCAGAGTGGAGCTATCAGCATCAGACCGAGCTCAGAGCAGAATGGAATCCAACAGTCAGAGCATGGCTGTCTTTCCCAAACAACTCTAAGAGCTAAGAAATCGAAACCACGTCCTAACGACTTCTAGGACTCACTCTGGGATGTAAGAGCAGATGTGCCCGGGCCTTACAATCCAGAAAGCTCTAAACTCTCCCTTCCGTACTCAAGTGTGTGCCGCCAGGACTGGGACTCAGCAAACCACACCTGTTTTGCCTGCAGTTTCTCTGTTGATCTAGGGGGGGCGCTGGAGGGAGGCTGGACTACTGATGGGCAAGAGAAGGGTGCACCTGCGTGATCGCTTCCTGTGGATTTCCCGCCTGCCTCACCCTAGCACGGCTTCCCCACCAGGCAGGGCAGGGCTCTCCTGTGGCTGAGATGAGTACAGCTTGCCACGTCTCTAACACTTGCAGGTCCGGATCCAAGAGATGCCTGCACTGCTGGCCAGCAGCACCATCTTCTCCTGCCAGGTCTGGCTCTCCGCCTCCCGCTCGGCACTTAGGAGCACCACAG